AAAAAAACTAAGATAATACGATTACTAGATACCTATGAATCTAAAAAATTATATAAAATTCGTGAAGTTGCCCATTTATTAGGAACATTAATCTCCTGTTGCCCAGGGGTCGAGTATGGGAAAACTTATTGTAAAAGACTAGAAAGAGAGAAGTGGCTCGCTCTACTCAAAAATGATGATGATTTTGAGGGTTTCATGAAAATTAGTGATGCTTCAATAGAAGACATTTCATGGTGGAAAAAGAACATAATCATTGGCATTCAGTCCATAAAAACTCAACAGTATCAATTAGTCATCAGTTCCGATGCATCTAGAACTGGATGGGGAGCTGAATGTGGAGGTATAATAACACAGGGTTTTTGGGACTGTAAAGACCAGAAATCACACATAAATTATTTAGAACTACTAGCCGCCTTCTTTGGATTAAAATGTTTTGCTTCCGAGAGTTCTGAATGTGAAATCCTATTGCGTATTGACAATACGACGGCAATAGCCTATATCAATAGAGCTGGAGGCATTCAATTCCCTCATCTGAGTGAACTAGCCCGAAAAATCTGGCAATGGTGCGAAAGTAGGAAAATTTGGATAGTTGCCAGCTATATCCCCTCAAAAGAAAATACACAGGCAGACACAGCATCACGAGTCAGTAATCTGGATACTGAATGGGAATTGTCCCAAACAGCTTTCAAAATAATTTTAAAAAAATTAGGTCCCTTCAGTATTGATTTATTTGCATCTCGAATAAACAAAAAATGTCAAAGATATTGTTCTCGTTACCCAGACCCGGGGGCAGAAACAATAGACTCATTTACAATTCCGTGGAAAAGTGAAAAATTCTATGGCTTTCCCCCTTTCGCACTGATCTCACCAACTCTACGAAAAATTATTAATGACCAAGCTACTGGGGTAATTGTGGTTCCCTACTGGCCCACACAATCCTGGTACCCACTATTCCAATCTCTACTATGTTCCCCACCCCTTCGCTTTGATCCTGCACCCGATTTATTACTATCTCCTTGCAGGCAGAAGATTCACCCACTGGCTCACAAACTATCACTAGTGGCAGGGAAATTATCGAACAATCGTACCTGAATGAGGGTATTCTACCAGATTCACTCGACATAATGCTTAATTCTATTACGGAATCGACTAGAAAACAGTATGAAGGACCATTAAAAAGATGGAAAGAATTCACCAAAGAAGAAAATATTAATTTATTTGACCCAAAGGCAACAGAAGTGATAAAATTCTTGACACTAAGATATAACGAAGGTGCATCTTACGGGACTTTGAATTCATCAAGATCCGCTATTTCCCTAATATCAAAAAATGACTTATCAAAAGATAAATTATTATCTCGGTTCTTTCGTGGAATTTCTAAAATACGACCCCCAAAAGCCAAATACTCCACTACTTGGGATACTGAAAAAGTCCTCTCCTTCATCGAAGACTCAAAAGATAAAGAAGATTTAACACTAAAAGAGCTTTCGGAGATCACAATTACATTGTTAGCACTTGCGACAGCACATCGTCTCCAAACATTTTCATTTATTCATATCGACAATATAGAAATAACCCCTACAAGAGTCAGAATAAAAATTCCGGATTTAATTAAAAATTCAAGACCAGGAAAAGCTCAACCTGTCTTAAGTCTCCCTTTATTAAATCAAAGGAAAAAAGTTTGTGTAGCTTCAACCATTTTGCATTATTTGAAAATAACCAAAGATATTAGAGGAGACAATAAGAAATTATTTATTTCAACTACTCGCCCTTACCATCCAGTATGTCCACAAACCTTGGGTCACTGGATAAAATCACTATTAGGAAAGGCAGGCATTAATACAAAAGAGTTCAGTGCTTACAGTACCAAGCATGCTGCTATTTCTGCAGCATATGATAGGGGTATCGACATTAATACAATAATTCAAAGGGCAGGTTGGTCGGAGGGATCACAAATGTTCGCTCATTTTTATAACAGACCTATTGAAAGATCGGAAGACAATTTTGCAAAAGCAGTACTTACCAAGAAATAAATTTAAAAAAAAATAATAATAATAATAAAATAAAATATATCTATATATATATATATATATATCTTGTCAAAATTTCATTAAATAAAATATGTATTCAGTTATCACAAACGCTAAAAATCTACATGTTAACTATCATCGAGAACGAGACGCATAGTATAATTGAACGATCAAACGAGCCCGCCGAAGGCGGGCGAAGTTCGATC